AAAACTAAGTTCTAAGGCCCCGAATTAGCCTACAGAATCAGAATCTCTGAATGTGAAAATTTTGCATTTTTAATCTGTTTGAGGATAACTGTCCATATTAAAGAATAATAACATTCCTTCAATCTTTTCAAGACATGAAATTAAGACCTCCCACAATTATTCTGTCTAATTTTCTCCTATTATCCACCCTCAATATTAAATTACAAACAAAGAAATGAAGATTTTACTTGGGTTAAGGCTATCCCAAAAGAACCACTGCTGGCTGAAAACAGAATAAGGAAATGGTGAAAGGATAGTGGGAGGATGATTCAAGCATATAAAGGAATATATGTAGTTTGCTGGGAAACAATGCAGTTACAAGTGAAGCATGGCTGAGATAAATTCATTAGACAAATGGTAGTTACCAAAAGAGCAATAGACTGAGGAAGCAATAAATTACAGAGGGACAATGTAATCAAAAATATAGCAACCTAGTGCAGTCTTACATGCAATCAAAAAGAAAAATAATGCTATTCTTGCATTTCCTTCTTTAAAAATTAAATGGATATATGTAGTGGCAAATGTCCAGCAAGAATAGGTGATGTGTAGGCCATGTTTATGTTGAAAGTTTTCTTCTAAACTATATAGATTCTGCAGCTGTTTTGAGTATGTCTGTATATGTGTGTGTAATTATTAATTCAATTTCTTATCTGAATGTTTGGGACTTGTCACAGCACACCTTGAATAATCTAACATGGATTGTCTTCATAGAGAAAAGAATTTTTACTTTTCTTTATCACTTGGAGAATGAAAATGGAAGAGAAAGCAATGTCAATAACAGCTGGCTCCTTTTCTTTCTGTGTCTTTTCCCTTTCTGAAGATTACGCAGTGCTAGAAACAGGGGGCATAAATAGATGAATTGGGGCAAAAAACATATATGCTGAGTTTTTGTTCCAACTCTAATGAAATATCATTAATGTTAAAGGATATGTGTTATTTTATTGTGGTTTATTGTGTTCCTGAGTCTCGTCATCCTATCTTACCAAAATCACTGCTACATTTGAAATTTACCAAGATCTATCCCAACAAAATAAAAGTCTGATAAAAATAATGAAATTACCAGTTTCAGCTACCTAGACTTCGTTTGCAGGAAGATACTTTTGCTAATTTAAAAAAAGGTTAGGGTTATTCCCAGCTGTTCATAACCGAGGCCTTTGTGATCTTACTGGTTGGTGAGTAAATGAAAGACTATGTAAATTTTAGCACCAGACAAGTAAGTGGTGTGTTTTTTATGTTACTTGTAATTTCTTCTATAAATGGGAAGAAGTAATCATTTTTATATATCATATGCAATGATATTTTCTCTTTATGTATCATTAACATGATTATACAATTAATAAACTGGTATAGAACTCCTATCAGTATTTGGGAGCTACAATGTGGCTGGGAGCTATTGTTTGATTGA